CTCAGCCAAGCCTTTTAATTCCTTGTATGTGTGAGACTGACTGGGGCAAATAAATGGCTAGCTTGTGTTTATTCTCCGACAGTATGACTAAATGTTGTATACAGTACAATATAGCTGAGACTAATGATGATGTTAGTGATAGTGCAGAAAGAAGAAACACTGAGATGTGTAGCATAAACTAAGCACACCCTCTGTCAAGTGTAAGGTTTTAGCTGTCTATGTAACTAAGTACACCCCATTTTTCAGTGGCTTAGTATTTACCACTTTGAGGAGCAATACCTTTTGGACTTGCTTTAGCTTTTTGGAAAATGGGCTCACATTTGGCTCTAATATACTTTGGTATACAGAGGAGTTTGACTCAATGAGTGCAAGTGCCCAGGTTCTGTGGCTGCAGGGAAAGCCCAAATCAACACCCCTCCAGCACCGTGCATGGCAGAGGGAGATGTTTGTGCTGATATGTTGTGTGTGGTGTACCATACGTCCGGCGCTGCATTATGACCAAACATCTCCACTTCGGTGTCGTCTGTCAAAAGGAAGTTGTTCCAAAAGTCATGTGGTTTGTTCATATGCATGTTTGCAAACCCAAGCAGTGCTGTCATGTTTTTGTTTTTTTCAGAGAGAAGACGCCTTTGCCTCGGCAACCTTTCCAAACCAGCCATACTTGTTCAGTCTTTTTCTAATGTTGCTGTCATGAAGTTTAACATTTAACATGGTAAACAAGGCCTGTACAGTCTGAGATGTAGCTCTTGGGTTTTTGCGGTTTTTCCAGACTGATATGAGTGACCAGAGTTTTTCAAGGCTGTTCGGAGGTATTTTTCATTTTCCAGCCTAAAAATATCAGCGAAAAGCAGGTTTTGTCTTAACACCTACTACTTCCTGCAGTAGGAAAAGCTAGTTTTAGTCTAAATAAGTATTGAGTAAGTTAAACTGCAGGTGCACTTTTTAATCAAAGGATTATTGAATCTTTTAAAATTAGTGACAAATAATAATGACCTTTGCTTCCTGATGCCATTTAGGATTTTCACAGAATTAAAGCTGGATGCATGATCCAAAAACAAAACAAAAAAGAATCCATCATATACACCACACAGGAGCTATATCGACTTAATAGCTGCGAACAGCTCCGATATACAGTATTCTGTTATACAGCACATCACATCAACAGATATATCACATGACACCCTCATACCCCTGCCTGTGATGTTGTTTTGGAAAGGCCGCTGTGTTCCCATGGCAGCCTAGCACCAGTTATTCCCAGTACGATTGTAGTTTTCCACCTGCAGCAGGAAAAAGACCTGTTCCCCTCCCAAACACTGTTTCCATGTAAACATTTTGCAGGAATGTGTGTTCATGTGAGCATGTGTGTGCGTTCCGTTTCTGTGGTTCAAAGCTGAAGTTTGGTTGTTCTGTTGTGCCTAAAGCTCCAGGTAGAAATCAATGGATTGTTTTTTGGCAAAAAATATATAGAAGGCAGTTTGTGTGTGTGTGTGTGTGTGTTTGTGCTCTTTAAGCATCGGTGCTCTCTGTCATATTTTCAGTGTTACTTCTGTCCCGTTGGGGATGATTACAAGAGAGGAGGGGAAAGTGTAGGAGCTCAGAGCAAGAAGATGAGGGTGCTAATCTGTGAGCAGCATTAGGATGAAGAGGGTAGCTGTGGGGGCTGCACAACAAAACAAAACACTAGCTATCAGTTCACAAAAACACAAGACAAAAAAAACCCACAGTGTGAGAGATGCAGCCAAACAGAAAGTGACTCAAGGCAATGTTAGAAGCAGCGTCTTGGCTAAGATCAGGTCAGACGTGGGCAAAGAGAAGTGGTGTTTGAATACCACAGGCTATAGTGTCCCATTAACAGACTTGTAAAAACACAGTCCCTCCCCCAGTGGAAACTGCAGCTCATGCACATAAACACACATGTGCAGATTGCCGTTAAATATGATAAAGTGTTAAGATTGTTCGAAGGTCCAGGAACATTAGAGTAGGCGAGCCTGAGAGTAGGCTAGTAATTGTCTAATAAATCAAATGTGTTAGTAGTTTTTTTTCACTATATTATTAATCTTACACCTTTTTTAAAAGACAATTGCACATTTTCTGGATTGTCTTGGTGTATTTGTAAAAAAAAAAATCCGTTTAAAAAATAGAGCTATTTTGTTTTTGTCAGCACTTTTTAAAAAAACTCTTCATGTTGTATTTAGCGGTAAGTCGAACAAAATTCAACTGCGGATACAAATTTTAAATTCCGTGTGGGTGACACATGCTGAAGGTGAGACACGAATGAAAGACACAGTGAGAAAGTAACATCACATTTACAAGGATACAAATGAACATGATATATACATAGGAAAATTAAAAGAATTGAGATTCATGACATGTTTCATCTATATATATTTTTAAACGTATAGATGTTAAATAACTTGAGTAGTTTCTTACTCATTATTGTATCTTATATAAAAAAAGAGCGATCGTGCCCTCCTAGCAAATTAAAGTATTTATCTAAGAGGCTCTGCAGCAAATATCACCTCTATACCTCCTGTCTTTGACTGACTTTAAGCACAGTGCTGTACTTACAATGGTCGCAGGACATTTTAAGATTGATGCTCACACTGAACTTGGAAAATCTCGATTTAAATTCATCGGTGCCTGTAAATGGAACGAGCTACAAAAAAACATGAAGCGGCATTCTCTGATTTCACTTCTCATTTTAAAAGGTTGAATCTGTTCATCAGCAACTGCTCTATCACATGTTTTTCTTCATTTGTAATTTGAGACTGTATGTATACTTTTGACCTTTTTGTGGATTAAAAGAAAAACAACTCAAAACAAATTTAAACCTGTGCACCAATTCTTGATTTTTTTTTAAATCCTTAAAGACGTATGCTGGCCTTCTGTCTAGTCAGAGTCAGAGTTACAGTGAGTCATACGCTTCCATATAGCTTTATTTGATCTAAATTGTACATTTTATTGTTTATGACCGTGGTCTGTGTCTGTGCTCCTTTTCTAACCAGGAAGTGGTTTGTAGCCTGAAAGTTTTGTTTGGATGCTCAGCTGCCCTCAGGGCTGTGTGTGGGTGCTAAAGGCATTCACATGAACAGACACACTCTGCATGCTTCTAGTAAACGCATTAACCCAAAATGAGGTATCAAAAACAGAAAACTCTCACAGTTCTGCAAGTGTTCTGCAAGAACCAGCTGGAAGAATGATTTTGTGTAAATGTCAGCTTGTGATGTTAGGCCTCCTAACATGAATCAACAGAGGTGGGGCTAGAAAAAACACAGAAGAAGTCACAGCAGGATGGTACTCACTCATTTCCCACTCGGTGTTTTCATATCCGCACCCTGTATTTTTAGACAAACAATGAATCAGTTCTAAAAACATGCTTTTATGAAGGTTTTTACTGTGCAAAGCTGTCTGAAAAGATAAAGGACTCTAACGAGTTGTCGTAATTGTGAACAGCGCAGCATTTTTAGCTGGAGTCCGTGGAAGTTAAGAAATACAGTATTTCCAACAAGATACATGCAAGTGCTGCAAAAATAACAGCCACAGTGTATTTAAAAGCTGTATGTGAATGAAAAATGCTTATTACTCTACTAGGTTTGGGTTTCTGAAGGATTTGGCATTTGGGGGCGAAGAAACTATTTTCACCAGACACAAACACAAAACCTTTATGTTGGTCTTTGCCTGGCTCAGTGCCACTGGACAAAGCAGGCCCAGTGGGCAGTGCTAACCCACAAGCAGCAGCGAGTACTTGGAGCAAATGGTGGGTGGGCTGAAGGTCATACGGGCTATGGACACACTGCCATTGTTCACTGCCCTGTGTGCTGGTATACGATTCACAGAATGCTATGAAAAGAGAGAGTAGGTGCATCGGAGATATCAGACAGTAAATACTCGATCAGATGTTAGCTGAACGTGTTTTAAAGCGATATAACTGATATGACTGAAGGATATGTGTGCATGTTTGTGACACTGCACAGTGGAGCAGCATGTTTTTGGTGTGAGTCAGCACTGTGTGAGGAGGCACAGCTAGCTCTGTGAGAAGTGCAGCTCTGTTGAATGTACAGTAGGAGTGGGAGGAGATGAGTAAAAAGCTCTTCTGTGACACTCAGGAGATGCATGATGTCTTCCCTTCAGCTGTTGCACACCACATTCCCCGAAGCGCTGACTGTACCTCTTCATCCTGGAAGAACTTTGATAAATGGAATCTACAACCTGAACTGCGCATGTATTTTCTCACTTAGAGACTTTATAAAATGGGTCAGTTTGTTTGCATCCAACGTTCTGACCTTTGTTTCTTGTTAATTCTGCCTCTCCCACTCCTCTTTGCAAAGGCCAACACTCATGATCACAGGCAAAAGCACTTTGTGGCAGAGGCATTTATTCCTGCAGAGTGATAGCACCCGCTGTAGAAGCAGGTCAAGGGGAGGTTATTAAAATTTCCCTCGAGATGCTGCGCTCGGTGTTCAAATTATTTGCACCTTGACCCAGTTTATAGTTGGCCTTTTCAAGTGTTTTCTCTCCAAGCTTTAGGTTTTTGTGCGAATATATGTGAAGAAAGACGCAGGAGGGGGGAATTCGTTTTGTCTGCCCCACTTTCCAGAATTGCATTAATTAGTGACCCTGCCAGGCACATCTAGCGACCTTTGTCGTGATACTTAAGTACCAAGCAGAACACTTATTTGTAGTGGTATGAATTTAGTGATTAGAAGAGCAAAGAAATGTCTTAAAAAGATGGCTTCAATTGAGTTTAAAGGGAAGAGGCTGTTAACTGTACACTCTACATTTTATTTAACTGTTGTTTCAGCAGTCACAACTGTCAGTGACATGCTTAAGTACAGCAGTCAGTCATCATTTAATCTGCGGTTTATTAGTAATCCAGTAATCAGCCATCTTAAAGTACATTACAAGGAACTGCAGCACAGAAATTAAAAACATCACAAATCACAAAAATCTCAAGAAAATTCAACAACACTAACTTAAAGTTTGAATTTCTCCCATCACAGATGGTCACTTCACCGGGACCCCTCCCACATACGGTTACGACGCAGACCGAGCAGAGGAGCAGCGAAGGCACCACGACATCCTGCCGTACATCGATGACTCGCCGTCGTCATCTCCTCACCTCAGCTCCAAGAGCCGTAGCAGCCGGGACACTCTGTCCTCCGGATCGCTGGAGTCCTCCAAATCGGTCAGTATGACATCTGGGCGTGTCCTGTTGTTGACAAAGCAGACCAAGATGCTCACATCTAATCCAAATGCCAAGCTTTCTCACGTCTCCTCAAGTGATTCAGCAACTTAGCTGCAGACAGAGCAAAAACAAATCTCGCTGGTAAACTGTGCTCATTCTTGCATACATTATTTTTTTCCCATTGCAGAGCAGGAATTGGGCTAATCTATTCTTAGAACAATCCCATTCTGTCTAAAAGTCTTCAATTGAAAAACCATATCTGCTGTTTAAAGGAGATTGATAAGGGACATATCTCCTGCCTCATAGCTCCCGAAGCAGTCATCCAGTGAAGAAACCCATCCGCCTTAAAAGTCAGGGTTTTTTTCGTCTAGTGTATTAGGCAGAATTACCTATCACCTCAATCACCACATCGCTGCCTTCATCCTCTTACGCGACCTCCTTCCTTGTCTGCAGTGAAAACCAGTGATCTGTGATGTCTGCTCTTCAAAGGTTATAAGGGAGAGGATACATGTGTGCGCACACAGACACAGACTCACAACCTGTTTTTCTTGTCATCTGTATTTATTCTATGTTATTTATATATGTTCTATGATGCAGTCCTCAGTGGAAGCAAAGGACTTTGTGTACCAAATGCTAGTATATACCAGATAAACATGTTGTAGCCATAGGTTCAATTACAATAGAGGGGTATCTTGGGAGAATATAATAAGCTAATGCTGCCTCTACCCCCTGTGCCCTTGGAGGAAGTAATTGCATCAGTGGTCATGAAGCTGTATCGGTTACTCTGCCCCTTCAATCTTTGCTCACTGTCTGTACTGGTGAGCAAGCGACTGTCAGACTGATTGATGGCTTGAAAATGTCAATAAACGATGTGCCCCTTGACTGCACCGACCTTTGACCTGTGAGGTTTAACACCCGGTGGTTTTAATTTGCGCGCACATACTTAGCTTGCATTTGGACACATACAATCCTTCTGTTTGTATGGAAAAAAGAAATTCAACACTACATGCTTAGAGCCTGTAGATGCATCGTCTGATGGCTGGATAAATACATTATGCACTGTGGCAAATATCCATCAACAAATTCCCCACAGGCTTACAATCAATGTTCTCAAAATGGAGTTACCATCATCCTTGATTTGCCCTTGAACAATCTGTCTTCAAACGTCACCCCACTCTGCTTTTCTAATTGATGAGTCAGAGTCCAGGTAAGCTCTGATTGGCTCAGGGGGAACTGATGGTTTAGTGACGTCACTGTCATGAGTCATCACTTTCAGTAATTCTGCTGATTTAATTTAAGAGTGCTCTGGGCTCTTGTTCGCTCACAATCTGGCTCTGCCCAGCACTTGAAAGGGAAAAGAGGGTCACTGATCAGAAGTTTGCTGAAAATTCAATAACATCCTTAAACTGTTTTACCAAAAACACTGACCACGTGTGCCATCTGTGTTTCTGCATGATCATAGTGTACTTTATGACATCTACAGAGTGAACCTACAGAGTTCACTCTGCTTAATTTCCCATCAAGTTTGTGGTAATGATGCGTTATTATGTCTGTATTTAATAGGAGAAATTTCAAGAGACTTATGCTGCGGTCACAAAACTGTTTGGAGATTGCAGCATGACCAAAATTACTGTGACCACGTACAATGAACTTGCAATCTTGTTGCTCGAGACCAAGACTGCGACCTTTTGCAGTCAGCTGCCATCTTTAAAGTAGCTTTACTGCTTCATGACGGTGATAAAATGACCAGTCTGTGATTGAATGGGGTCAAACTGGCAACTAACTGTCAATTAACTGTGATAAATCTGCACAAATCATAAATCAGTTTCTGTCTGCATACAAAGAAACGCACATTAACTACTTACATTCAGATTCCAGCCACGACCTCATAGATTTGACTGCAAAATGACACAGGAACTTTCCAACCTTGCTTTTCTATAAAATATTTGGCTGGCGAGTCACCTGATCGCTGAAAATGAGTCGTGCTCACTGGAACAGACTGACTCAGATTGACTGCAATAAGTTAGGGAATAAATGCCAGTCTAAGTCTGATTATTTGTAGACAGGGTGCTTCCCACCAGCTGATCTATGCAGTCATCTTTTCATTGAAAATGAGTCACCCAGAGGTTGTGGGTGATAGACACTCAACCTCTGGATGGCCAATTAGTCTTACGGTTAGTTGCTGACAGGGAAAAAAAATCAGTGCAGTCCCCAGGCAAACCCAGATTTTTCCTAGTTGTAAGGAAGTTTCCATATTTTTACTGTAGTGCGACAGAGCCACGTAGACTTCCAGCTGGATTCATAGTCCTGTGTTTGTTTGCAGAGCCCTCAGGCTACAGTTATCCAGGGAAGCCGTCGGTCATGCACGATAATGATTTGGGTCTTCTTCACAACTGGGGCAAGGCTAAGTGACTGACACCAGCGCAAACATGAACAAGAGTAGCTCCGTTAACCACATGTTTCTATTCAAGTGGCGCGACACAGCGTCAGCACATACGCGTGGGTCTGGTGAGCAATGTGTAGCACCTCCGCAGTATCATGCTGGGGCCTGCTGCCAGATTTAAATTGAAGATGTTGCAGGTAATTGCTTGTGCTTTGACCTCCCCGTGGATCATCCTAGTTCATGAGCCCCTGTATATTAAAACAACTAACTCCTCTCTCTTATGGCCCACACTTAAGGTGTGCAGTAAGCTTTATTTTCTGCTCGATCAGCAGAAATACTCTAAATGAGCAGCATGTGCACCATCAGTGTGTGTCTTATCTGACTGAAGACCTACACCACCTCCACTACATAGCCGATGTGGCGCTAGGAGCCAATCGCGTTAGGCTTTTCAAAAAGCCAGGGATAGCAGAACAGGATGCTACACAGATTAGAAAATGAAAATTGAAAAGGGTTGATAAAATGTGGGGTTGTTGTTATCGCAGTCACTGTTGTCCGTCCCATCTGTGAGTCCACTAAATAAAAAGAAATAAAAAGAAACATGTTGCTAAACAAACCCAGTGTACATCAGAATTCTTAAAAACATGCCAGGCTGAACTCCAGCTAAGTGATGCTGGGGCTGAAGAGGTTTAAGTGTAGATTTAAGTGTCAAATATTATTTTTATTGCTTCTTATGTACACTGCAGGGAGAATATGTTTTCTTTTTTTACTTATTTCATAACCAAACATGCACACAGACACTTCTTTAGTCTTCTGAAATTTTAACTGAAAATGATAAGTATATATCATAAATACACATCTCATCTTACGATGCACTTTTGTTTGTAAAGACAAACATTTACCTCTTTTGACTGTGTTAGTATCTACACATAATATACTTCATTATCGGCTTTCGTGGGAACCTAATGTTCTTACATTCAGTCCAGATACCTAGAAGGCTCTGCGTGATGCATGTTACATGTCTACCACAGAAATGATAAGGTGAGAAACAGTGTAGTATACTGTGCAGTAGAAACTGTGAGTACAAGACAGTTGGATGAAGATCCAATATTTTTTGGAGCAAATGAGAAATCGGGATAATAGCAGAATATTAAATTATAGAAATCCTTGAGTTGCATCTTAGGATCTAGTTTTTGCCTCATTCCAATAATAACTTGTACATCATTAACTAAGATGCTAAGAAATTACAGCAGAGAGTAAAATATTGTATTCAAAACCTGGACATCCATGCATTTTTTTAACATCCAATTACATTGGATTACACGCCCTGGTCTACCCAGCACAATTTTCTTTTTGCTCTCAGTAAATAGATCTACAAAATATTAAATATATTACACAAGGAAGAGCAAAGACTACACATATATCTTCATACCTGTCCAAACGACCGGTTGTTAATAGTTCTGTTTAATCTTTTTTTTTCGTTCATTCAGTCAATTTGCTGATGTAAAATAAACGTGAAGAGTTGAGAACGTGTTTGTAGCAGGCTACTGAATCAAACTGACGACATATAAAAGCATATTGAGCCCGGCAGAAACTATGGTGGTAATGGACTCCTGTGTAATGGAGTCCATAAAAATCCTGGAGCATTTCATAATCTTCTGGCTTGTAACAGTCCCCTGAGATCTGTGTAAGCATCTGCTTATGCAGTGGCCATGGAAACAGGTTTCAGACCCATTTACCCCTTCATTTAAATAAATGCATGTACGCCCACACACATCCAAGTAGTCATGTATGCATGTAAAAGCAGTTCACGCGAGCATCATGCATGGTGCACAGGCAGACATAAACGTTCCTGACAAGCATTTATATAATTTTCAAAATAACTGTATTTAGTAACAAATCAATATAAAGCAAAAACAGCTTTTATGAATATTGTATTTAATACTGTTGTTTTTTTTATGCTGTTTTTTTAATGCTGTTTTTACTGTTAAGGTAGTTACAGGTAAAAACAGCAAGAAAAAATGATTAAAGAAGAGTAATAAAAAGAAGATGTTATTACTTAATGCAATTTTACCTGTTCAGCTGATATTCATCCACTAATTTCCACTAATTATGGTCATCATTCATGCTGCATCCAAATGCGTTTAATGATGATTCAGGGCTGTTTCACTGGTTTAATCCCAAGCTCATGCAGTCACAACTACCAGGAAAAAGGTTTGTGTGTCTCAGTGTAAAGATGTGTAAATAAAAAACCTAATGTATACACACATCTCTGTCTGCATCTGGCTTTGTAAATTATTTTTCTGCATCTTCTCACATGCTTTTGCCTCTCCCATAACACACAAACACACTCATACATACACATATTTATACCGCAGCCGTTTTTTTCTTGTCCTTGGTGACCCTGCCCGTTTGAGTTATTTCAGATTTGGTGGTTAATCAAGGCAACCCGGGGAGTTTATCTTTTATTTTTTCATATCTATGCCCTTCAGCGAGCTTTGACTCAGCTGAAGGGAACGGAGAGGCAACCAGGGATGATTTTCGGAAGGTGTTTAATTTTCCTGGACTCAGGCGCACAGAAGCAGCATGAAAGGTCCTTTACCAAATATATACATATAAATAATAGGATGTTATGTTTTGATGTTGTAACATAGTCACAAAAGAAGCAAAGGGCTTGCAGTGTGAAAATAGTTCCTAAAATATTTTAAATAAGCAAAAGAATAAGTTAGGCTAAGCAAACAGTTGTACGTCACATTGCGTTACTGGGTGTTCTTGAAACGTTATTCTCTGTGTGTTTGTTACAGACCGAGTGTGACCTAGAAAAAGGTTTGGAGATGAGGAAGTGGGTCCTGTCTGGGATCTTGGCCACTGAGGAAACGTATCTCAGTCATCTGGAGGCACTGCTTCTGGTGAGAACACACATCACTTTTAATGTCCTCATAATGTCCCGTATATAATCAATCTACCAACTGCTCAGGAAATATGAGTGTTTACAATGGAAATGATTGGTTTTTGAGTATGAGAGTGAGCGCTTTAGATATACAGAAGCTTTTCAAATGTTTAGTAGATTGTTTAGAAATACTATTTGTCCCTTTGCTGGTCTACTGAAGGGGCAGCTAACATTAACGTCCCCCTAACTTATAGGTGCTTAAACAGTACTCTCACTGGCCACTTTATTAGGTACACCAAGTTAGTGTTACTAGTAGTAGGTTTGCCCTCCAAACTGACTTAATTCTTTGTGGCGAAGACTCAACAAGGAAACATTCTGTTGGTCCATATTGACATGGCAGCATTTGTCAGCTGCTCATCAATCTTCTGTCCACCACATCCCAGAGGTGCTCTATTAGATTGAGATCTGGTGACTGTCGAGGCCATTTGAGTACAGTGAGCTGTCATATTCAAGAAACAAGTGATGATTTGAGCTTTGTGACATGGTGCAGTAAAGCTGCTAGAAATACCAGTAAGAAGATAAACACACTGAGGCATTTAAATACTGCTGAGTAGGTACTAAGCTCTGGTTTAGACTTCTGCAGGGAATCTTTGTGAAGTCTGTGACGTAACCTACTCCAGTGGTTTATGTCTTTGCCGGCATTTATCCTTATGCGTGGCGGATATGTTTTAATTAAGCGTGTGGTTGTGTCCTGGTGTTTTATATGCAGTGCCAGCAAGTACAAACAACGTTGTTTGATTTTTTTTTTTTCTTTCCTGGGTCTCTGCTCTTTGTTGGGGTAAGATTTTTTTCAGGGGCAGAAATATTTGTCCCTCTAGTTTTTCCACTTCTTTGTACATTCCCTCATATCCGTTCCGATAGTATCGTCGATTTCCTTACAGGAATTTTCTGGCATTTGTGGCAATGTGGCAGATTCATCACAGCAGGCATCTGTAGTCCAATTTTGGTGAGCCTGTGTAAATTGTACCCTCAGCTTCCTGTTCTTAGCTCACAGAAGTGGCGCCCGGTGAGGTCTTCTGCTTCTGTAGCCCATCTGCTTCAAAGTTTCAGAACGGCTATTCTGTTACCTTGATTGTAACAAGTAGTCATTTGAGTTACTGTTGCTATTCCTATCAGCTCAAAGCAGTCATTTTCCTCTGACCTTTGACATCAACGAGACATTTTCACACAGAGAACTGCAGCTCTCTTCTTTTGGGCCATTGTCTGTGAACAATAGAGACGGTTGTGTGAGAAAATCTAAGATCAGATCAGCAGATCAGCAGCGTCTGAAGCTCTCACACCAGCTCTTCTGGGACCGACAACCATTCAGCGTCATAAAATCATCTTTCTTCTCTATTCTGGTGCTCTGTTTGGACTTCAGCAGGTCATCCTAAGTGTGTCTACATGCCTAAATGTTTGTTTCAGGCATAAAAGGATTCGAAAAGGTGTGCCTAATACAGTGGTCCGTAATTGTATCCTAACAATACTGTACATGTTACTGGTTATCCCAGATCAGATAAGGCAGGTAAGGTAGCAGTAAAACCTGTAAAGCCTCATTGTTGCTGTTTTAATACTGATGAGTATGACAAAGAAAAATGTACCATACTTGAAACAAAAGACACCTTGGTGTAGAATATGTGATACCAAAGTGTAACCTGTAAAAGTCTTTTACTGTTTACTTTAAATCTGAATGAGTTCATACATTATAGTAGTGCAATATAACAGTCACTTAATCTAGTCATATTTTTTATTTTTTCTATAAGATCATTTAGAATGCTTCTAACATAATAAACACAATAAAGTAAATTTATATCTGCTCTCTTGGTCCTCCTCAGCCCATGAAGCCTCTGAAGGCTGCTGCTACAACATCCCAACCAGTGCTTACCGTGGCCCAGATAGAAACCATCTTCTTCAAAGTGCCTGAGCTCTACGAGATCCACAAAGAGTTCTACGATGGACTTTTGCCTCGTGTCCAGCAGTGGAGCCACCATCAGAGAGTCGGGGACCTCTTCCAGAAACTAGTAAGGCTGGAGCGTAGTTACCTTTAGTGCACCTTTAGAGCTCATAGCCAAAGAGAGAAATGAGTCAAAGGGTGGGGGGTTGTAGGGTGTTTGTTAGAGTGTGTACCCTTGACAGCAGAAATGTCCCTCTGTGTAACTGCTTGACATTACCCCTAATAAAACTTGACAATATGGGCCACCCAAAAAAACTTGACAGCACTGATAAGAACAGCTACAGCTGCATTTCTGACCCCAAACAAACCAACAGGGTTCACTAGGGCTCCATTACTCAGTAATGTTATTTCTTCCATCGGAAGGCTTCCATGAAAAGCTGAATTTCTTAAACCAATAGTAAAAGTAATTAGAATTTTGGAGTAAAGCTCTTATTATCATATTAAATTCCAAACAAACTGATTCTGAATCATCCCCCCCCCCCCACATTTCCGCCTAAACAGCCGTTTTTGTCCTTCCCAGGATGTCAGGGCCAAATCTACACTGGGTCTGTTCAATCATTTTCACAATGGGTCAATTAACCCACAATGAATCATTTGTTAATTCTCTTAGAAATACTGCTCCTTTCCCACTCGTGTCTCCCTCCATTGCTCTGTCTCTCTCTATCCCTCTCCCCCTCTGACTCACTTGTGCTTGGACACACACACACACACACACACACACACACACACACACACACACACACACACACACACACACACTGAGGGAGGTGCAAGCGTCTTTCACAATGCCGCCTTTCTGCCTCAGGCAGCTGAGACCATCACAGCACTGTGTGTTTCACGTCTAGAAGAAGCTGCTATAAATAGGAGCCTCTCTCTCTTTCTCAGAAACACACACACACATACACTCTCTCTCTCTCGCTCTCTCTCTCCCTCCCTCCATCTTATTCTCATTAACTTATCTTGGGAGGCGCCCCTTGTGGCTTGGCTAAGAAATAAGAATTTAATTGGTTTTGTTTTCATGTCAAATAAGCAAACATGAAAATCCAGTCCATCAAATTGTTGTATCCATCCTCCTTGTTCACACTGAACTTCTATCTAATAAAACCGCTTCACGGTCACCTCTAACATTAAAGAAATGACATGGTTCTGATGTTAATTATTGAGCAGAGCGATTGTTAGCTGTGAGATGTGTTTGAAAGGAACGCTGCATGTTAAATCTGGCAGACTGGCATCCTACAAGACACAAAGAGGCACCAGTAGAATAATGACTTCTTCACTGGTTGCCGAGCAAGGTTGAATGAAGGGCAAATTTGACCTCTGGGGCCCCCCAGAGGATTATGTCAATTAAGAACTTCATTTTTGACTATATTAGATTTCATTTGAACTTAAATTGGAAGGTGTAGCTAGTATTTCCATAGACTGGTGCTAGTTTGCCCATATATTTAGAGAGCTTCTTTGTCTGGCTCAGCAATTACGTCACTCGTTTTCATTTTGTGTTTTTTCTTTCTTTCCCCACCTTGACAGTCTGGTGTAGCTACAGTAACTATTGTTACTAACACTGTAACTGTAAATAGACATCTTTAGATTGATGCTCTCATGCTTATACATTTACTACCTCATACACTTCCCTTCTCCAGACTATAGTTAATAAAAGTCAAAAGGTGACCATGCTGAGCCTTGAAGAGGGGGGGAAAGGGAGAAAATGTTGGATGACAGTCTGCATTAGAAAGAGAAGGAGGGACGGGGATTAGTTGAGAGGAGAGGAGGTGATACAGACAAGGACCGGGGGGTAGGGAGGGTTGAGAGGAGGTAGGAGTTGACTAGGCAAGAAGATTTAGGCTGCTGCAACTGTGATAGAGCTGTCTTGCCATGACTCTGAAATCTTTGAGGAGAGACAGGCTTACGAATCGTAAAACATCAGAAGGAAGAAGGCGAGAATCGGAGAGAAAAGAGGAAGTGCCAAAGCATCAGTGACAGGCTATGAGCATGACTGTCAGAGAATAGTGTTTGAAGACTGAAAATAGGGCAGAATCATGCTCATGTTTCTGCTGCTCCCTCACACACAGCAACAAAGTTAAGGCTTTGCACCATGAAGACAGCCAGGCAAACTGATAAACTGTCTCTGAGCATTTCAAGAAGAAACAAAAAAACCCGATGACACATTTTTGCTTTCGGCCATGGTACTGTTGTGACTCTGATAATGTTCGATGCTAAAGCCACCATCATGATCCAGACTGATTATTATTATTATTTTTTTTTAATTTTGGTTGGATTGATGTGAAATTTTGTTCAGCCTTTTAGGAGAAGCTCAGCATGAATTTTAAGAAAAAAAGAAATTCAAGAGTATTTTTTTAAAGTAAACACTTCTTGCTGTGAGACACGGGTGCCTCACAGCAAGAAGGTCCTGCCTGGGCCGTTGGATTTGATTCCTCCCACAATCCAAAGACATGGATGTTTTGGAGTAATTGGCAATCCTAAATTGGCCATAGGTTTGAAACAGATTTCCCTAACATTTGTTACGTGTAGTTATTTACGAGTCCTCACTAAGACAGTATGACAGTGCAATTTAGAAATAAAATTTTATTGTCACAGGAAATTACTTGTTTAAGCTCCACCTTCCAGCCATCAGCTGGCTGTATTGTGTTCCAAACCTGTGCGTCAATAGGGAAGTTGTATAGTGCCCTCTGGTGGGCAAAGAACTGCAACAACGCTCATAACATGATTGAAGGGTGTTTCTCCTGGCAATTTTTAAAATTTTGTTAATTTTTATTTGTTGGTCATTATTAATGCTGATAATGATATATGAGCAAATGGCTATTACCGACCAGTATATCAGCCCCGTTGATAAAAAGTCATAATTGTTATTAATCTTTAGTGAGGAGCATAATTTCTACCCCAAGACTTATTTTGACTTTAATCAATTAGCAATTGCTGAAAAGCAGCGACTTCAAAGACATTAAGTGAAGCCTAGAAAAAATAATGAAGAAAAAAACAGAACAAAAATTGAATCGTTTTACAAATGCATGCACTGTGTGAAAAAGTATAATAACTTCTGTGCCACCATCAAATCAAAATCTCTGGTTCACTTTGGTTCACTGCAAGCCTCAGTTCGCTTTGTGTTTAGATCTGATGAGCAAGTGTTGCCTGCTAACTTGATAAACTGAAATATTGTGGCATATTGGTGGTTTCATTGTGAGCATGTCAGTGTACTGGTGTTGGCACTCAAAGCACTGAGGTAGCACCATAGGACTAGATTCTTTCATTAAACTTAAAACAGAATTAAAGTTTTTTCATTCTGTCTGTTCTTGTATTATTATGTCGACATAGACCACACTGATTTTTTTTAATTTTGTCTTTCTCATATGTGTCAGAAGGCTTAACTAACTGAGGGCAAATTCAGCTTCCTCATAGAATGACCATAGTCTGTCATGAAGCTGTTTTCTTAATGTTGTTTTCCACTGTGGATTACACACATACTGTCACAAAGGGACAAATCCGGAAGTGAAAAATCCAGACACCTAAGCAGTTCTTTTCATCACCCAAAGGCATTTTCTGCTATGATACTGTAGCTGCATTTGGTAAGCCTCAGTGCTGTTGTGTGTGGAAGTGGCTGGCAGACACAGTCAAACTGTCACGCTCTGAATGGCTTCCGCTGTGTCGCAGATTGTGTGGCCCAGGGCAGGACTGGGGATTGCAGGACTATGAAAGCTACTTTACTCCTCACCTTCCTCTTTGCTGTTTCTTTCTGTGCGTGAATGTGAAACACATTTTGAGACAGTTTTGTTGCCTAAAAATGCATCTGTGAGAACCTGATTTAAAAACACAGTTAATAGGGTGCAAATTCCAGTCAGGTGGCACGTAGCATGTTGCCTCAGAGCTGTAAATAGTTTTGGACACACAAAGCGAGATCTGTCACTCTTGAACAAGTGTAAACAATGTTTAGAAAACTTGTGACTGCATTCCTGACGTAATAAGCTCTCACACCCCATGAATTTAAAAAAAAAAGATTTAAAAGGAAGAATAGGCTCAGTTTGAGATGTTTTAGGTTAATAATTGAATTAAGTAAGGATTGTGGAAAAGTGGAAGAACATCTAGGTCAACAAAATACATGAAGCCTCATATATATTTATATTTAAAAAGTAAAAGCAGTCACAAATCACCTGGCCTTGCTCAGAGTCAGGCCTCATGCCGAGGCTTGTAAAGCCTGTATTCTCTTTAAATTAAATGGAGTCTCACTTGTTTGCCATGTAAAACATTGGGATCGTGCAAAATCTTTGACCTTCCCCATATTTCTTTATATTTTGCTTGGAGACTGGAAAATAGGTGCACCAGTTTACTGAAAGGTCCAAACACACATGGAAATAAATGTATGTTTTATGTATACATAGACATTGTCGTTGTTTTTAGGATCGTTTTCATGCTGAAAAATGAAGCTGCTGCCAATCAGACACTTTTCAGTACCATCAAGATTTGATACCTTTTTCATATTTCCATTGATTCATAATTCCATCGATTTTAACAAAATTCCCAACCCCGCTGGCTGAAAAGCAGTCCCAAACCACAACAGACCCTCCGCTGTGTTTTACAGATGGCTGTGAACACTCATTGTTTTACCTCTATCATGACAAAATGATGATGATTTGAAGCAAAAATGTAAAATTTGGATTCATCACTTCTGTCACCATCGAGTTTTGCTCCATTTCTTTTGTAATTTGAGGTAGCTCAGCCTTTTCTCTCTGTTTTCTTCGTTAAGAATGATTTCTTGAAAGTCACTCTTGCACTGATGCTGATGAGGCTTTGGCAAATATTAGATGGGTGAACTGAAGGGCTATATGCATCTCTCAGGTCCTGTGACAGGACTCTGTCAGGCTTGCCACTTCTTCTGTCCTCTGCTTGTTCAGTTTCCTCAGATATGTGTGTCACTCTGCACACCATGCGAATGCTGACTTTTTAGGTCTTTGGGAATCAACTTGTTAGTGCTAAAATACCATTTCATGCCTGCCATCATGTGTTTTTTTTAGATTTTGTAGAAATTATGTGTTTTGGCGACAGGCTGCTAGATATTTGTGGATAGTTGAGTTGGTGGTGTCTTTTTATGCTTGATTAGTGGTCACCCCCCCCCAAAAAAAAAACCAAACAAAAACAAAACAAAAACAAAACTTCCTCTAAAAATGGTCAGTTACAAGGATTGAAGTGAAAATGAGTGAAAACACGGCCAATGTCCAAAGAAAAGACTTTTGGAAAGCCTGAGGAACTTTCAAAATAGAAAAATCTGGTTCTTTGGAGGCAAAATATAGAGAAATTAAGGGTATCTTGACAGTTTTGCACAGTACTGTGCATTAAAAACATAATTTTTTTTTGTAAAATTAAAGAGAACAAAAACTACTATTAGCCACATCATTATACACCTGATACTGGAGACATCATCTGGTCAGCCAAAACTAAAAGATGTAATCACAGAAACTGTAATTGTGTTCATGTTTTTATCTTTTTCTGAGCCCTTTTTCAGACGGGCTCAGACCAGGTAATCAAATCTGGTGTGACTGGTGACACACGAACAAACTTGTGGTGCACGGAGCCATTTGAAGTTCTAGAGGAAGTGAATTAGACTTTAATAAAATCTGAAAACGAGTGTGAGATTGAAAGCCTTGGAGACAGTCCATAGATTGTTGATGTGATGTGCCTCAGCTGTGATCATGTAAATATGACTTGTGTCTGTTCTTCACCTTCTTTACTTTCAGATGAAGTTCTTAAAACACTATTGTCTTTTTTTTTTTTTTCACAATCTTACTAAAAATCAAATGGCTTTTTCTTCAAGTGTAATCCCAAAAAGTACTATATTATGATTGCAAGTGATGCAAATGATGTGTAGTCTAAACCAAACGTCTGAAGCTTCACACAGGCTATAAAGGTCTCAAGTGCAACAAAGTGCTAGGTGTTTCATGTTTTAAATGCATTCATTTCTGCTCAGTGCACTCAGGTAAGACATGCTTACGTACATGCTAATCATTTTCGAGGTGTGTGAGAGTCTGCGTCACTCTCGAGGCACAAATCTCCACTGTACTCCGTCCGCATCCATCGGCTTTTGTTCTGGAGAATTGATTGTCCTTTTGTTCGCGGCAGAGATGGATTGCAGCGCTGGCAGGCAACGTTCGATGGAGTTTTATTCAGTCACACAGCTCACTAAATGTGCTTTCATAGCCTCTGTTACACCAATCATTAATTACTCACCCAAGCTCAGTGCGGGGCTCGCTGGTTGCTATGGCAATGTGCCGCAGAGACCACCATGGTTACACGCTGTAGCTGTGATCTGTCTCTCGCCGGTTGTTTTGTTCAGTTGTCTGCCGCTCATGTACAGTCCCTGGGACACACAGCTGAACAGACTCTGTGTTACAGTTCAAATGCACTTTGTACACATTTGTCCAGTGTTTCGGACATCTGTGCTGCAATTTTAGAATTTCTTTTCCCACTTACTCATTACTTAACCTGTGGGCATTACAATAGCAGTGCAGACAAGTATAACTGCACTGTCTGGAAGGCACTACAGAAGACTTTCGGGTAATTTTGTGTGTCTGAATTTCTAACTTAAAGTCTGAAAGCTCAGGAAAGATAGTTTGCCCTTATTTAATCCTCCAACATGGAAGCTTTTTAAAAGTTGTTCAAGCTCACTGTCACTGCATTGCGAAACTGCACTGTATATAAGTTTAAGTATGTCTGATCTGCGAATTAAAGTTTTTTTCCTGCTCTCTCTCTCAGGCCAGCCAGTTAGGGGTTTACCGGGCATTTGTGGACAACTATGAGCTGGCTGTGGAGACGGCGGAGAAGTGCTGCCAGGCGAACACGCAGTTTGCTGAAATTTCTGAGGTAAGAAAGCGAGTAAAAAGAACAGTTAAGTCACTTGATTCCTATTTACCAGCAAACTGAGGGTCACAGCTTGTGCTTTTTTTCCTCTTGATGTGCTACGCAATGCTTTACAAGGATCATAAAGCTCTATAAAAATGTTCTCCTTTTAAGAAGTCTTCTCCTTTTGCACTTCAGAATAGTATGAAAGCTTGGAAGCACTGAAAAGGCAGTCAAAATGTCGGGCTAGTATCTCCAGATTTGAACTTACTCAACCTGCTGTGAAAATAACTTGAAATTGAGAAAATATGAAGAAATTTGGGTTAAGGCAAAATTTTGGAATAATAACATTCAGCAACATCACATGATTTATTTTTGTTAGGTTAACCTTTTTATTTTATGCAACTAATGTGGTGTTATAACAGCATCTGATGATGAAAAACATTACCTCACTAATCCAATCACAGACCAAAGTGATAAAATTAACTGAACGCAGTATGAATTGATGCTGCATCGCATTTTTGTTGTCATGACTCGAGCCACAGAGCAGTTTGTGATGGTAAAGCTCTGCTGGGGTTGGGGTAATTACTATTATTTCTACATGATGTTAACATAAACTTTCCTTAGCTCTGTACCTATTTATACAAGAAGAGCAAAAATGCACCTAGCTGCTTGTGCAGCTGGAGACAACGCAGAATGAAAATGATGACTAACCGTCAGCTGTGTTCAATTAGTGTGTTCAGTCAATGAACATTGCCTAAGAGGTATTGTAGTTTAGTCACTGCTTAACATTTTTGTCCCCGATTAAATGCACTTGCAAAACACACTGCCATCGTTCACCCAAACAGCTTTTATAATTCCCTTGCATTTAAATTTTAATGCTCTGCTGAATATTTCTGTGCAAATGCAGCCAGAGGCAAGATGTGATGTGTGCCCATGCGTTTAATATTGTTTGAGGATAGCGGATGGTGTTTTCTGCAGTTTTCTTTGGTGAAGGCCTCTATTTGGCTTCATCTGCAATTAGAGCACCTGTAAAATAGGAGCTCTCCTGCACAGGGTGTAGAAACTGTCTCATAAATTGGAGTATTTTTATCTAAACTTGAGTTTCCAAACGCTTCATGGGCTGAGAAGATATTATACTCTGGCCTCAAATCTAGCTTTGAAAGCTGATATAAAATCCGGTTTAAACTTCGTCTCCCAGTAGAGTGTTGTACTGAGGCCGTCCAACATAGATAGGAAATGTGCAAGCTCCAGCAACATCGCAGCTCTCGTCATACATTTTGGGATATTTCTGTTTGAACGGCAGCCAAGGATTTAGATTTTTTGAGGGGGATTTGAGGAGAAGTGTTTTTTAAACTGCTATGTATGAATTAAACAGAAAAAAAATATTGATCCTAAATAATGATCTTTTATTATGTGGAAGAAAACTGCAGTTGTGAGTTAAACTAGTTCTCATGCCATTTCTTTCTCTTTTTTGTCAAGCATGCGTTAGTTTCTGCCACACCATCAGCACATGTCTGTGTTTTCTGAGGACCAGTAGTCAAGAGTGGAGGCTGGTATCTACATGCATATGGGGAGTTCATCATCGAGGGTTGTTAATGGCCTTAGTAATGATGCATGACTCAAAGCCATCTGAGCAAGATGGTGGGGGGAAAATCTGCTGAATATTGCGTAATTAATTTGGAAGTGGATGACCTTAAAGCTAAAGAATGAAAAGATAGTAACTTCATCGTGTTTTGTCACTGAAGAGACTTTTAAAGGTCTTTTTATACATTTTTAAGCCACTGTTTGCACCTTTGTTTTGTACCCAAACAGAACCTGAAGGTGAGGAGCCCCAAGGACTGTAAGGAGACAGGCAAGAACTCACTAGAAGGTCAGCTATCTCGTGCCACACTTTACACCCCTTCTGTGTAAACATTTTTATTGTCTATATGTTGCAAATGGGCTCAGTAAAAAATCTGTCTGTTATCTGCTCTTTTTTCGTTTATAGCTTTGCTTTATAAACCAGTGGACAGAGTGACGCGCAGCACTTTGGTACTTCATGTAAGTAATAGAGAACGTGCAGGCCCAGCGATGCTCATTAATAACTGTGTTCTTCTGTATTTTGGGAATTGTGATGTTTTCTCACAAATTAAACCATGAAAGAATGCGTTGGGTGATCAAAGAACAGCCTGTGTTTCATTTGCCATTGGTTAGCATAATTGCTTATAATTTATTTTATTTTTTTTAAAAACCTGACAGCCCGTCTTTTTTTTTTTTCAGCTGTTTTATTGTACTGAACGGTTCTATGGGTCTATAGTTTATTGAATCTGTGAAATCTTATTGTAGAAACATTGAGCCATAAAGCTGTGTGACTCATCCATACATTTCCTGGACTGTGGTGTTTTTTGATAAAGAGTATGGCTGGACTGTGTGTGTAACACTTAAAAGGAAAAGAGGATTATAGTTAACTCGTAATAAGTAAGATTTGCTATACTGTAACTTTATAAGTTGAAAATATGCTTCTGCATCTCAATGTTTCTCCTTGTACTGCTAGGACTTGCTCAAACACACACCCATCAGCCACCCGGACCACCCCCTTCTGCAGGACGCCTTGCGGATCTCCCAGAACTTTCTGTCTAGCATCAATGAGGAGACGACGTCCCGTCGCCAGACTTTCAAGAAAGGAGAGGTGAGTGTTACAGAGGTTTAAAAGTCACGCTGAGGTCTGAGCTGATGTCATTCTTTGGTCCAATTATTGCCTTGATCAGCTCATAGGAGGTGTGGTATATTCTGTTGTCTCGAAATTGTAACTATGACTTTAATAAACTGTAACATTAAGGACACATCTTTGACTTGAATCTGTTTAAATGAAATGAAATTACGTTAAATTAAATCAAAACCCTCTAAATGACCTTGAAGTTGCTACCATAGGGGTCTACCAGATGCACCAATCTGCAGCCTAAAGCAGAGCCCATGTCCTTATATGGTCATACCAGGGTTGTCTAGTTGAGAGCAATTCCCCTAACGCTAACACACTTCACAGCCGCCCCCACCCCCGCCCCGCTGTCTCTCTCATCCCTGGAGATGGCTTGATGCACATGAGTGGATGCCTCTTGATTGATAGCTTGCGTGACAGTGCCGTACATAATGCCTTGTAGTGAGCAACCAGTCCGCTCTGACTGGCAGATTCCAAGTTAATTATTCATAAATTGAGAGTGGGAGGGAGCGAGCAAAAAGGCTCCTCCCTCACTCACCGGGAGGTCATTACCGCACCCTTTCCTCACACGCACGCACACACACAGCTTCATATGCTTTCTCATTCTCCTGGTCTTGTTTGCTTTTGAACATACATACACACGTGCCCATCTGTCCCTCCAGGCGCCCATTTCCATCTCCACGCCGCCATACCACAATCATGAAATTTTTATCATGGATTCATGAAAGCAGCACAATCAATGAGGCTCATTATATTGTGCCTGGCTATGGATGGAGCATGCGACAGACTTGATTAGATTTTTTTCAGTTCCTTGTTGAATTTACAGACTCCAGTCTGTACATACATGTCACAGTGTTGATGTGAGTGGTTTACATTTAAGTTTATTTCAGTTCAGCAGTCGTAATGTTTTTCCTTTCTTCTGCTGTTATGCCATAATGAGAGGACGCGAGAACAAAAGGAAACAGGTCAGAGTGCTCAATTATGATCTGACCTGAAATCTGCTTGTGAGCAGTCTGTGTTTTTAGTCACTGGACTGGAGGCATGCAGGAGCATAGCAAAACAGGTGCCCCCCCAGAGGTCCTGGCCTGGCCACATGAGTGGGGGGCGACACAAACACAAACTGCTTAATTAAAATGCAAACGATGTCGCTCACTCGGCTCTGTTTTCCTTGGGGGGGAAAATGCTCCTGATGTGAGTGGAGCTAAATGTACACAGTCATCTAGACCCTTCAGCCTGTTAATAAACAAACGTGTCCCGAATTTTTTGTACAAGATAAAAAACCACACACACACACATGCACACACAGACGCAGTGTGGCCCTCTAAGCATTTACTCTAAATATAAACACAGACCTTTTGTAAACTCACGTCAGTGCTTGCGCGCTGTCAGCGAGGCACCTCCAGGAGATGGTCAATATTTAATCGGCGTCCTCTGCGTCGGCGTGCTCCGCCCGATGTCGCTCTCTTTCCACACTTACGCTGCTGATGTTCTGCTCAGTTTTTACAAGGAAAAAAGAGAGACGCGTTTCTCCGAAGATTCATGCTGTAAAAAATGTCATCTGATGTGCGCAGACAGCTGGTTTGTTAAAGATGTCTTTTTTTTTTCTTTCCTAGTTGCAGAGCAAAGAAGCTCGATAAAACAAATGAGCTCGTCTTCCCATATTCTCATTTCTGCCTGCATCCACATGGTGGCTGTGAAATAGTGCATTTATGCATCTGCATTAAATCTACGTAATAGATGCACAAACCGGTCTGAAACCCTGCGCTTTAATATACATCATAAACTAATGTGCACCTCCTAGAAATGTAGCTACACATTACATCGAAGCAGTCACCAAACAGCTCTACGAATATTCAGTGCAAGAATCTAAGTTAAGCCTTTTTTTCATGACTTTTTAGATATTTTATTGTTGTTTTTTTAGTAGCAGAAAGAGGCCACATCTACATATCTTTTGTCCCATAACCGTCGGGTACATGGTGTTTGAAGCGTCAGCTTTAACGATCATGTAAAGAGCAGATAATGCTATGCTGTGCTCGTAATGTTAATATGCATGCTTACAGTACAGATTCATATTTTTTAGCGCTGGTTCCCTCTGATGTGTCAAATCCTCAAACTGCTGCGCAACACTCTAAAAATAAACTGACTTGACAGCATGTAAGCTGGCACATGTATGACATAGACAGAGCTTTTTGATTGGTTGTTTCTTTTCTAGATAGGAAGTATCCTCCGGGGGTAATGTTACATGTGGAGCAACTTCACAGAACATCTGAATCCCCATGCAAACGCATGGAGACTGAGAGATGTGTACACTGCTCAACAGTGGCTGGGACAGTATAATCCTGATTAGGCAAATAGACCTGGACAGAAGAGAAGAAGGCATAATGAGTTTTTCTTTGTTTTTTTAGGGATCCTCTTGTTGTGGTTGAACTGACAGATGTAGATGACAGTTTCCAGTAGAGATGGCTGTCAGACAGACAGTAAGCAGTTCATCCGGAAGCTATCTATCACAGCACTTGGTCGTGATCACAACCTTGATTGTGTAGCTCGTGATGAATAATTATATCCTTCAGTGGGAATTAGTTTTCTATTAGATTGTTATTTCAGGGATCAGAATGTGATCGTAATGTGCTGTGGTATAGGCAGCGAGTGCGTGCCTCGACAACAGATCACTGCAGTGGAGCTGCTGTGGTGATATGTCACTTGGTTCGCCGTCTATCTACAGCTAGAAACTGCTGCATGACATCTGTTCTGTCGAGAGCTACTACGTCTCTCTCTGGCTTCTTCTCTCCTTTCCTTCCTCTCTCCCTCTCTCAGACCTTTCCTTTTTATTGGGTCAGAGAGCCCCCCCCCCACCCCATCACTGACACTTTTCTTTTAAAATCATGCCCCATTATCTCTTTCCCTCTCTGTCTTGGTCATCCTCCTTTGATTCTCTCGGGCTTAAACACTGAGTGACACAGCATGATTCTCCACCTTGTTAGCAGATGTCCAGTGAGAATTTGTAAGCACATAAACTTCTCTTTCATTAGCGTCATGTCCACTTCAGTGTTTTCAGGCGGTGACAGTAACTGTGTATTTGTGATGGAGAGGGGAAAGGAGAAAAACTGCACAAAGATGAAGACGAGGCATTTCGTTGGTTCTGGAAAGTGTGATGTCATGTTTCAGGGTTTTCCTGTTAGACTGACAGGATTTGGGAAGTCAAGTGCTGGTGTGAAATTGGGGTCTGCGGTCATTACATGAAGAAAAATATGGTTTGGTTGCAGTGGAAGATGTAAAAGGAGCATTAAAGCCTCATTCTTTGGTTGGACAGTTTTTCTGGTAATTAGCCAAAGGAAACCCATACAATCCAATAAAGCGTGTGAAAAATTGAAACTTTACTAGTTAAATTTGAACAGATTTAAAAAAAGTATTTAAAGCAATTCAGTAGAAATGATCACGTGTACAGTCAATCAGAAGAATAAAAGTGGTGTCACAAATGAGTGAAAGGGATTTTGTTGTCTTTTTCCAAATTGTATCTCCTTTTTACAGTGAACCACTTGGATCTAATCTCTAACCACAAGTAAAACAAAGGTTATGACCATTTAAAAGCAGATTGTTTCCTTCTGAGCTGTGGTTTGAGCTTCATTTGCTCTCTGTTTTTGTTTTAATGCCCAGTCTCGCGTCTCCTTCTTAGCAAAGGGCATCACTGCCCTCTTTTGGCAAATGATGATATTACACATCTCATTATATAGTCTGACATCAGTGATCAGAGCTCTGGTCACTGATGTCACAAACATCACTCTTCCTCCTCTCGTTTCCTCCCTCACTCATCCTTTCCTGTGTGATCCCATGGTTCGTGATGATGATGCCAGATCAAGCATTTGAAAATAAATTTTTTTAATGTCTTTTGGGCGATGGGGAAAGTAATGATTGCACACAATGAGCTAATGAGGTTTTTGTCATTTTTGATGCTGTAAAGCTAAACTCCTCTCTCCCTTCCCTCCTTCACCGTCCTTTCCTTCTAGTGTCTTCTTTCACACACTTGTGGAAGAGAAGTAGGAATTTGGGAGAATGGAAGGAGCGATAATGCTTTTAGATGCGGCACCTAAGAAAAGGTTCTGCAAACTGATTGTGACCTTTCCAGACAATTTCACACATTTATTACTGTGACTCTTAAAATGGTCTGAGCTCCCTAAAATGCCGCCGCCTCCTTTACCCCCAGACTGCCAGCAATTCAGTTTGGATGCACATTTCTCCAAGTGACTCTGTTTTTTCTTTTTGTTTGTTTTTTGTGAGCTGTTTAGTTATCAGCATAAAAGTGTTGTCTTTTTTACTGACCCCCTGAGTGTTGTCTTTTGTTGCCATAGAACCGCCAGCTGCTGAAGGACAGTTTCATGGTGGAGCTGGTGGAGGGAGCCAGGAAGCTTCGGCACGTCTTCCTCTTCACCGATCTGCTGCTCTGCGCCAAGCTGAAGAAACAGATTGGAGGGTAAGAAGAATCTGCTTATTTTTCTCAGTCTCAGGGATGAGATACACTGACATGCATCCAGCAGATTAGCAGCAATGCTGGCGAACAAGTCTAAAATTAGTAATGACAGTTAAGATCTATGTTAGAACAGGACCTAAGCTTCACAACAACAACCAGAGTTATTGACACAGATTTAATAATCTCTATTATTTGAAATATTTTCCCAAAAGACCCTCTTGATATTTTTTTTTGTTTTACAGATAATAAGTACTTTTCTTCATTTATCCCTGGCTCATCGTCTTTCATGTACCCCTTTTTTTTACTTTCTTTTAACCAACACTCTCCTTTTAATTTCCCGTCCTTCTCCTGCTGCAGTAAAAACCAGCAGTACGACTGTAAGTGGTACATCCCCCTGAGCGAAATGACCTTCCAGGGCCCCGAGGAGGCTGAGCCACTTACCATCCCTCAAGTCCCCGATGAAGAGCTGGACGCCATGAAGGTCAAGATCTCACACCTCCGCAGCGAGATTCAGAGAGAGAAGGTATCGTAGATGTGCTCTAATCCAGATTTCTGCATGCAGATATTCAGAAGTAGACGCTTCTTCGAGTTGGATATGTGCAGTAGTTTCACCTATATCTGTTTGGAAACTTAAACAAGATTATTTCTTTTTTGTTTTTTTTGTATTTCAAGCAGTCCAAATGTAGCAGTTACTCACAGTTGAATAGGTTTTTCACGCTCTTCCGAATAAAGTCAAATATTTTCACCACCAGAGAGCAAACAAGGGTTCAAAGGTCATTGATCGCCTCCGGAAGAAGCTGTCTGAACAGGAGTCTTTGCTCCTGTTAACATCCCCAAGCATACCCCTCAGATTCTACAACAAGAATGGAAAGGTAATGATGCTTTCTATCCTAAACTACCTCTGCTTTTATTTTATCAACAGCTCTTTCCCATCAGCTTCCCCTCACTGCTCCTTCTCCTCATTTTAATTGTTGTTTTTAAAGTTATTTTTATAAATTTTTGGGTCGCTAACTTCTGTTGTAACTGCATACTTTCTTTTTATGAGTGTGTATCAATTTCTGCATGACACCTTGTACAATTATGCTGGCTCAACGTCATATAGACATATAGACAGTGAATGCATTAAACAGTAACCGTGAGACTTGGTCACTGCTGTGAGAGTTCGATAAACTTAAAGGATGAACATGAACGTGCATTGAGCTATCGTGTTGGTCTTCCTGTTATTTTGTGACCATCTGTTTTTCTCAAACGCCTCTCATGTGTTTATTTTTCAGAGCTACAGTTTCCTGATTTCATCCGACTATGAACGTGCAGAGTGGAAGGAGATAATCAAGGAGCAGCAGAAGAAGTGTAAGTGTCAGTCAGGCTGGACCGGCTCAGTCATCTGAAGTGCAAGATACTAAAATTTGGGCATGTTTATGTAAATACTACCAATCGATTGAGGCTAAGAAACCAATATTTTTTTGCATATCTGTACGGCACGTGGTGTTTTTTTTTAAAGTACAGTGTGATTTAAAATTGAAATATACTGTCTCCCCTCAAGGTTTTAAAACAGTTTCCCTGACGTCCATGGAGCTGCAGATGTTGACCAGCTCTTGTATAAAACTACAAACTGTCCACCACATTCCACTTAGTATTAACAAAGAAGGTAGAGTGACTGTTTTTATTTTGTCCAACATAATTTTGTGTTTTTTACAGACTTCTTTTAAGTTAAAGATATTCATGAGTGCTTATGAGGCAGTTTTATTTACAGCCTTGGTTTGTCTGTGCTTTTATTGGAAACCTTGAGCTTCCCCATAATGTCCCCAGGAATGAAGTAATCATTAATAACTGGGAAAATTGAGGATTGGTTTTAAACCCAGATGTTTAATACAGAGCACGTCTGTTAAACCTCTTCCTTCCTTTTCTCACTCTGTTCCAAAACATGCAGAGATCGGCATGCTTTTCTAGTGCCTCCTAACTTTTTATTACTGTCTGCTCACTGACCGTTTTTCCAGAGGATGAATCCTCCGGTCTCTACGGGTTCCTGAATGTAATCATCCACTCTGCCTCCGGCCTCAAACAGAGCTTAAGTGAGTCACTGACCTTCACCCACGCAACCTTTCAGTTCAATTCAATTTTAATTTGTTCATAAGCAGCGGAAACAGTGTTATTTTTGTTTAAACTTTCAATCGTGAGTGTGTAATTGGATCCACGGGCTGAAATTCGTAGACATTTGATTTGATTTATTTTCCTAGGGTAGCATCAAACATTCAGCCCATTCTTTTACTAATGTAATACATTCACAAAGACGACGTGATTTGCCATATAAATGTAAATTGTATTAAATTGTTTCCTCCCTGCCAGATCTCTACTGCACATTGGAGGTGGACTCCTTTGGGTTCTTTTCAAATAAAGCCAAGACGAGAGTGTATCGATACACCAGTGAACCCAAATGGAATGAGGTAAGAGATAAAGCGTGTGCAATTCAACATACACATACCTTCAAAGCTGGATTTGATGAAGTAGACATGTAGTTGTTTCTGTGACATTATAAAGAGATTGCTCACCCACATGTACCAGCTGGTGCCTGCATTGAATCCTCAGTTGCACAAATCTCTCCATCCTCTCCGTCATATCAGTGCAACTCAGGAACACATACCTGCACACATTTCCGTCTTAGCATAGTTCATGTAGCTGACATCTGGTCTTTTAATCATTTAGGCATCCATCTCCGAGCAGTTAAAAGATGTCTAAACAAATCCAAAGCATCCAGAGCTTCAGCAAGAATATACAAAACACACATATACATACTCCATATATACATGGAAGCAAGCACACGTGCACAAACAAGAATGCATTAATGGCATAGCTGGGTGAAGCAAGAAAAGCTCTGAGACATAATCACAGGATTAGTTCATGTGTGACAGGGTGTGCTCCATAGTGGACCCAATGACTCTTTGAGGATTTTGCCCAGCAAAGTGGAAATAATATTAACTAATGAAGAGCTGCTGGTGATGACTCACATCTGGTCAAAAGCTAAGTGAACCAACGTAGTGTGGGCCTCAAAAAATATGTGCAAAACATATGCAGTACTTTCTCTTACATAATTACAGGAAGTGATGGTCAGCTGCGTTTTGTCGTTGGTCGTATTGAAATGCAATGCCATGGTGATGTCTCTGAAGTTATCATGGCTCTTTTGCATGATCTTTATCTGCAGACATCACTGTATTCAAATATTTCCCGCCCTTTGCTTTTATTTATTCTTTCCTCAATAGCTTTTTTTCTGTCTCTCTTTGTTCACTGAAGGAGTTTGAAATCGAGCTGGAGGGCTCTCAGACCCTGAGGCTGCTCTGCTACGAAAAGAGCTACAACAAGACCAAGCAGAACAAAGAGGATGGAGACGGTACAGACCGCATCATGGGGAAAGGACAGATCCCGGTATGACATGACGTCACCCTTTTCTCAGCCGTGACCACCATGACTCATTGCTGATAAGCATTTATGCCACAATAGGTGCCGCATACCATATGATCAGTGAAGCTTGTTAGAGGAATATGTGATGGATAGGTAGAGGCTGGCTAAATGAAGATGGGTTTCAGTGAAGTTGTCTGCACTTGCAGGTGACTGTAATTAAAAAAGAAAAAGAAAAAGTGGAGTGACTTTGTAGCGGTTTAATAAAAGCTGTAAAAAGCTGTACGTGCTCACTGCTTCCTGCCAGGCTTAGCCGTTTCAAATATTTATCACCACCCTGAGTAATGGGTACTGAGTAGCAGCAAAGTCGTCCTCCACAGAGGAAGTAAATATGAAATCAGTACCATAAAGTATTCTCTCCATAATAATGCCAGACCCATAAAATTGCCATTATGCTGAACCCATCTGACTGACCATAGTTTGATGGCAGATTTAGGTAGTCAGGAATTTAATCACGAAGGCAACCCCACCCCACCGGATACTGCAAAGTGTCACCTAGAAGATTAACAGAGACAAAGGCAAAGATAAAAAACGTGAAAAACAGGAGTTGCTTCTTTCATCCATTGCTACCAAAAACAATCCCTTTTTCTACTCCTTCGTCAGCTTCAGTGTGCGTCTGTGTGTGCACGAGCATGATTGGACATTGCTGTAAGCTTTTTTTGCTCTGTTTACCACAAACACTCACACACACTAACCTTCATGTATATAGCAGCTCATTTGCTCTGGAGTAAAAAAAAAAACCCCCACAAAATAATAGCTGTAACCTTTTAAATGATTGTTACAAATACACTGGTGCAACATTGCGTACATGTTGTTTCATGCCGTATGCACACACACGCATTGCGGAGGACAGCTGTATTTATTCTGAGAATTCTGCATCCATGCTGGCTGGAAAAAGCTATCTACACTAGGATAAGTTTCCAAACTGTGACTTACAGTCACATGCTCCACCTAGTGGCTCCTCCAAGCCTCAGACACGATCCTATTTTGACAGATGATGTCATTTTAAAAGGAAAAAACTCACAGAGCTGTTGGAAGGTTACTCAGCAGGATTTTCACAAATCCAAGGCAATGTTGCTGCTGTGTTCAGCAAAAGTCACGGTGGCTTATTGAATCTACATTTTACTCTGCAGCTTTTTTGAGTGTTTGATCAGTCAGGTGCATGCTGAGATTAAAAAAATGACTGTTTAGTTTTCAGACTGGCTGGTATCTAGCATAAGAGGCAAAATAAGAGGCAAAACATGGGTGCTTAAGGATTGACCTGATATATGGGTAATAAGAGTACATATAACATGGATGTATACTTGAGCAGGTCCTTGGTGTGTATTCTAGCTAGTGCAGTTTTTCCTGCATGTTTGTTCTTTATCTTAGAATCAAAGTAAAAAAAATTAAGTTTTCTTTTTCTATGATAATTTCACGTATGCTATACGTGAAATTATCGGTCGGTGACTCAATCCATGGCTTCTCCAGTCTGCAAGTTGACGTATTCTTGGGAAAGATACTAAACCCCGATGCATCCGTCTGAGCGTTAGTGTGAATGTTGTGTGAATGTTAGACCAAGTGCTGAGGCTTATAAAAAGCACGAGTGTGATTGTGTGTGTGACTGGGTTTGCTCAATTAGAGTAGAAAAGCACTACATAAGTACCAGTCCATTTTTGTTTGCTTGTTTTTCCATAATCTTTCCTAAACTTAAGGGTCACTGTAGCTCAGGAGGTAGAGCAGCTCATCTATTAACCGCAATGTTGATGGTGCCATGCCTGGCTGCCCAAGTATCTTTGGGCAAGGTACTGAACCCCAAGTTGCTCTACGATGTGTCCATTGGAGTGTCATTGTGTATGAATGTTAAAAAAGAACTTGTACCAAAAAATGCTTGTATGAATGGGTGAATGAATCAAGCTGTATAAAGTGTTTTTAGTGCTCAAGGAGAGTAGAAAAAAACCAGAATGTAAAAATCACTCAGCCCACTAAAGTTCTAAAGTTTGGTGTCAGTTTGTCACATCATCAGCCTGAATTCCCCCATTTTTACTGCATCATTAGTCCTTTCCCTTTCATTCTACACTATAAACATCCCTCTTGTTTCATACTTTCAATTTTTAAATGTACGCATCCACACCTTGCATTCATGGATTGTGTAAAGTCCTGTCTCCATCTGAATGAGCTGTGACAACTATTGTTTACCCTCGTGTTGCAATGCTGGCTAAATTCTAGCTTTTATCATCGTTCACTTGACCAGATTGTCGAATTATTGGAAAAAAAGCCACTAAAAGTCAGAGACGACAGCATCATGTTTGTGTCTGAAAGCTTTTAGGCCGACGAGGATGCCAGCTCTTATGGCTTTGCTGTTTTTTAGTGGAATGTAATTCTTTATAGATAAATGGCTCAAACCAAAGAGCACTCCAATCTCTTCAGTTTGATTCGGTTGTGAGAAACTTGATCCAGCTTTGCAGCCAACCAGATGGGGCTTATACTAGGTAAACACACCCAGCATGCGTATACTGTGTATGAGCGTGTTTGTTGCGTTTTGTGAGTTGTGTTTGTTCGCACTCAGCCTTTATTGCCCAGGATGGCATGGCTCTTTGATTTGAGTGTAGTTAGTACCTCTGAATAAATTCCATTTGTTTATCGTGCTTCTAAATATATAGCGAAGGGTGTAGTGTGTCTGCAAATCACATTTCAAAACATTCTGCTACAGCAGAGTAAGACAGTTGATGCAATTATAACTTTATGTTCTGCTTTTCTGACATAACACAGCAGCACAGTAAGTAGGACAACAGTATTTAAATATAGCCTTGACTTTTTAAGATCATCATAATAAAGCAGATAAACATCAATAATTTATAAAGCTGCAGTGGCTCCAAACAAAATACTGAAGTTATTCTTTCAATTGTAAAAAAGTGATCATTTTTTGATCCGGTTAGATCTAAAAGGTTTAATAATATAGATTGTTTCATGTAAATGCACTGCAAAATTAATATTAGGCAAGTACATGAATATTATCAGCTTATTAAAGTAGTAGTTTCATAGTAAGCTGTCCTTATACCTGACATATTATTAGTTTGTTAATGTTCCATCAATGCATAAGCAGCATTTTACATGAGCAATTTGCTTTGTCTCATGCCCAGTCAGGGGATCACAAAATAAATGTTGCATAGTTTCATTGTAAAAGAAAAAATCTGAGGAAAATTTCTAAATATAAAAAAATCTACCATTGAGTATTTGTGTCAAATAAAGGTCTTTAAAGAACAGTGTTTCCATTTGAAAGGTGGTCGAGTAGAAGAAGAACGTAACTGAAGTACAGCAAAATTTCTCAAAATTGTACTTTCTACCACTTCTAATAGAAGACTATCATAAGCACTTTTATTGTTCGTTTATTTTGTTTTTTTTCCAGCAAACATGCACAATGGATCCTGGAACATGTCTTTAGTTTGAATGTACTCTCTGAATCTTCACATGACTCAAATTTCCAAATAATATTTTTATCTGGGCCTCGGTGCAGCTCATCCACTGTCTGAAATCGAGCCATTTTAGCTTCTAACCCAAGGGTGGGGAAACTCCAGGCCTTGAGGGCTGGTGTCCTGCAGGATTTAGATGTGTCCTTGATCCAACACACCTGATTTAAATGGCTAAATTTCCTCCTCAACATGTTGTGAAGTTCTCCAGAGGCCTGGTAATGAACTAATCATTTGATTCAGGTCTGTTGACCCAGGGTGAGATCTAAAACCTGCAGGACACCGGCCCTCGAGGCCTGGAGTTTCCCACCCCGTTCTAACCCTTTAAGACAACCTTTGAGTGGTTGGCTGCCATTGACAAACAGAAGATTTGTAAAGCTGGTGGGTGGGGCTTCTGTCCACTCTCACTGAGATCATACAGATCCAGAAGACTGAAGCCTGAGCTTTTAATTTTTGACTTGCGGTGATTACTTGCATTTATGTTGCTTCATTATTTGAAACTTTGTCAATGTTCAGTATGAGTATCCTTCAGTGTGAGCATTTATGTTTTTTTCTTTATCATGTTTCCTCAACTCAGCTTGATCCTCAGACTCTCCAAGGCAAAGACTGGCAGAGAACAGTTATTCCCATGAATGGGGTGAGTGGATCACACAAAATAAAGATATCAAAACTTAAACAAGATTTTCCTCCTGTATTACACTCACTAGCAGCTCTAATGTAGCTTTACATTTAGATCATAGTAGTATGCATTAATGAGAAATGGGAAGCAGGTCGATTCAGATTGTGTAATGGTTTGATTTGTTTTTTAACTTTGAGTTCTGTTTCTTATCAGATTGAGATTAAACTGTCCATGAAGTTCACCAGCAGAGAGTTTAGCCTGAAGAGGATGCCCTCGGAGAAACCCTTGGGTGTGTTTGGAGTTAAGATCTCCACAGTGACCAAGTGAGTAAATAAATGAAGAGTGACTATTTGCCCACCAGCACTGTGAAATGTCCAGGTCATTACTATTTGTGTTCTCCTCTGACATTTTAGGGCTAGGACAGTTGCTCACAGTAATTATTCTGTAATCAGAATAATCACATCTGTATTATTCCCTGTGCCAGGTTACTCAGTCTTATCCCAAACTGTGGCAGACTGTCATGTTTTAGAGAATAGGCCAGTGAATGGCTGAAGTCAGTTGGCGTAGCATACTGTATATACAGTTGTAACAAATGTTATTTCAGACCCTCCTTTTTGATTCCTTTTTTGTTTTCATCCAGACGAGAGCGCTCCAAGGTGCCCTACATTGTCCGGCAGTGCCTAGAGGAGATTGAAAGGAGGGGCATGGAGGAGGTGGGCATCTACAGAGTGTCAGGAGTGGCCACCGACATTCAGGCCTTGAAGACTGCCTTTGACACCAGTAAGTATCACTGCCATCTGTATACCTGATGACTTCTTTTGTTTTGGGGTTTTTATTTTTACATATTTGTCAATCTTACATGTTTCATTTTTAAATGATCATTTATTAAGGGACAAAAGCCATCCGAACCAACTTGGCCCTATATAAAGACATCATGAAGAAGACATCAAGAGGTTAATGATTTGAAATCATTAACCAGACTGACAGGGGAATCAATTTATGTATTAACGAATAATTGGGTATCCTACTTTGCACTTTTAATTCGACGCTAACAGTTAGGAGGCACGGCAGTTTGTTCTGAGGTGTTTCCTAGCGTTATGATTGGCAAACATCCAGTTTCAGGCTGCTCTCGTCTCTCCTGCAGATAACAAAGATGTGTCAGTGATGATGAGTGAGATGGATGTCAATGCCATCGCTGGGACCTTGAAGCTGTACTTCAGAGAGCTGCCGGAACCGCTCTTTACTGATGAGCTCTATCCCAATTTTGCAGGCGGCATCAGTAAGATACTGACTTTGAGGTTTTCCCACACATAAGCAGTTTGAACTGCTTTATTTACAAGAAATGTATAAGCAGCTGTATCTTTCCCTTCCCTCCTCTGCAGCCCTGTCTGATAGTGTTGCCAAAGAGAGCTGCATGCTGAACTTGCTGCTGTCACTGCCCGAACCCAACTTGGTCACATTCCTTTTCCTTTTGGATCACTTAAAGAGGTATAAACAACTAAACACAAAAATAAATGCACAGAAAGTAGACATGACCGCACACCAATGTGCACAGAAAGAAAGACAAACCAAATTCAAGAACGTAAATTTTTATAGTTGATGCATTAGGTGGTGATCACTCACAAGTGTGTTTTCAGATGGATTTTCTTTACATTTGTCTCCAAAACATCTAAATGTTAATATTGTTTTAAACTTGAGACAGTTTATTGTGTTATGTGAACATCATTATGGTGCAGTGTTCACCTCAGTGATTTTCTGTATTGATGTAGCTTTTATACTATTAGGTATAAATCACTTGCAACTGCAAACAGCCTGACTGTGCACTGAATAGAACTGGAGATTTATTACTTTTACTTTTAATGTCTTTATAGAGTCAAAGCTTTTTCAGTATTGGTTGACAATGTTATTGTTTTGTTATCATAAATCGTTTAGCCCCAAAAATTGGCCTTTACTACGATATCCAAGAGAACGTTTTCGGATAGTTTCATGCCTGTTTGCATATTTAGAACCACAACATGTTCTTGTAATTAAGGTAAAACAGAGACATCCTCACACTGCAGAGGCCATATTTAGCAGACGTCGCTCCACAGCCAACTTAAATGATAAACAGAATATCAGGATTGTTGGGCAGACTCATAATCTTTTTATCGGTATTAATTATTGGGTCTCTCTTGTAAATGAGACATTAAGTCTCAGTGGGACTACCTGTATAAATAAAGGTTAAGGAAATAAAATATGTAAAAAATGACAAGGAATGTCAGAGGTGGAGGAGCTTGTGATTATTATTTGGATGGAGTGTCTGTGGACAGTTATCCCGTTTTAACCTATAAACTCTTCTGCCGCACTTACTGTAGCATCTCCAACTTGCTCATATTTGCGCTCAGAGCAGTCCATCTCCATCCCTGCACATTAACATCGCTCTTGTTCTGCATCTTTATTACTAATCTACTCAACTCTTCCTCTCCTCAGGGTGGCAGAGAAGGAGAGTATCAACAAGATGTCTCTCCATAATTTGGCAACGGTGTTCGGGCCGACCTTACTAAGGCCCGCTGAGAAGGACAGCAAGATCCCCGCTAACCCAACACAGCCTATCAGCATGGGGGACAGCTGGTCCCTGGAAGTGATGGCACAGGTAAGCCACACAGTTTATCTTCAATCTCTGCCCTCTGCCATTTTGTGTTTGTATTTTCTGTAAAGGTGCTTGGCTCATTGCGATACTTATATTTTTAATTTGCTCATTTTTTAAACTTTCTCAATACAGGTCCAGGTGTTGCTGTATTTCCTCCAGCTGGAGACGATTCCCACCCCAGACAGTAAACGACAGAGCATCCTGTTCTCCACTGAAGTATAGAGCTAACGCTGACTCTGACCACCGCTGCGTGAACAAAGAGACGGACACTGGCTCAGAGCGAGCCTCCTGTCGTGTGTTTTTTATTTGACTGACTGCACTCCGCTCAGCTTTTGCAGCTGGGAAGGATTTGTCTCCGGTGATGCCTGTTGTGCTTGAACACAAGAGGGCGCCACTGGGCCTCTTAAGTACAGAGTATGTGAGGTCTTTGCCATTCCTATCTGTCATTACCTGATAATTAGTATGATTCCATGTACCTCCAGTGTAATGCATCCACCACCTGGTTTTTGTTGGTCTCAGCGGTGAACCTTTGCAGCTTTTACACAGTTGTGGTTCATAATTCGAGAAGTTCGAATGAACAAAATCGCACAGAACGAGTCAGGATTGTTGATTTTTCTGGAATTGGTTCGCCAACAAATCAGAATCTCCACGAACTTTTGGGCATTGTTCTCTGTACGTCTTTATTTTAACCAATCGCAGGAAAAAATGTTGCAAAATGTGTTTCTCCATCTCAAACGTTGCTTCATGTCCAGTTGAGGAAAATCCTAAGTATGTCTCACATAATCTCAGCGCATTCTTTCAAACAAGTGCAGACATTTGATGGAACTGAAAGTCAGCGTGTGGCTGTCGCCGTCGTGCTGGCTTTTTCTTTTTTTCTGTATCACAGGAAGCCAACACCTGTATGTTAAAGTGTTTACAACGTAAACAAACCCGGTTGGAGTGAAACGCTACGGCTTGGTGAAGTGAACCCAGTGATTTGTAATACACTGCAGTCTGACTGCCTGCCGTTTGTCCGACCACAAAAGCAAGTTTCCTCTATTTGTGTTGTGTCTCAAAGTAACCTTCAGCTTAAATGCACAGGAAGCAATATATTTTCTAACATAGGAGTTGTCTGTGTTCATATCTTTGCTGACGAAATGTCCTTCGCATTGTAACATAGGACGTCTTGCCAAATCAATATGTTTTTTTGGGGGGGTTTTTGTTAGGAAAAAGGAAGCGGTTGTATTTACAGATAAAGTACATGTACATAATCTTAAAGTTGTATTTTTCTTTTTGGTTAACAGTATAATCATTGTTGCTGTTACTGTAATTTATTTTGGGGTCGTCGGGGAGAAATTGGTTTGTTTGTTTTTTTCTATGTGAACTTAGGTTTCTGTTTAAGAAAGTAGTAGGTTTTAGCCTTGACTTCAAGTCTTGCAGTAATTAAGCAAGATTTAGCCTTGTTCTAATAGAAACTGCTCAGCTGTTCTATCAGTTCTTCATTTCGATATTGTTATTATTATTAATATTATGAAGGTAACACACACTTTGTAGTTCATACTGTATGTTGCTGTGGAAAAGACTGAAGTTCTATGACTGCAAGCTGGTCCTTATCAGCACATCTCCCATCCAGAGATTGCCTGTCTAGTGTAGACATTATGCAATGTCATGATACATCTCATACACACATGGCGTTGTCTCCTTTTGTAACCATTTAATCTGTGGCTGCAGAAGTGCACTAATGCAATGTTAGAACTACTGTATTACCATTGAAGTGACCTGAGCACTCTGCGTTTATGTCCAGCCAACAGCGCATCTTTTGTCTTAAATGAAGGAATATTAATTTGCTTGCGCACACATGGCAAAATGTCCTCCTAATTATTTGTCCGCAACTCACTGGCCAAGTTAGAGACAAGCTCTTAAAATTTTTTTTTTTTTTTTTGCAGTATGATTGATTTAACATGCAGGCATGTTTTGTTCATTTTATTTCTGTGCGCTCCTGCTATTGCTGTGTTGTATCCATGATGTGGGATGTAGTTCATGGGGATCTTTATCCTTTCTTTGTTCTTTTTTTTTTCTAAAGATTTTTATATCACTACTGCTTATACTGCTTACTTTTTATAGCCAATTCAAGGCTAGTTATCATGACTGGCTGTAAAACCAATGAATGAGTTAAATGGATCTGATAAGGGTTTACGTGTGCTTGTGGCCACGATGAAGATGGAGTGGAAAAGCACACATGAGTAAATTATGATGGAAAACACAGTTCTTGCATTCGGATACAGGTGAACCCTCTAAACGTCGCATTTGCTCTCGCTTTGCCCTTGCAGCATCTCAAAGATATTTTTCTTGCCTGTACTCGTGTAGGTTGTGAGAGGCCGAATGCACCACCACCAGTCATTTATTCATTATTACACTTGTTACCTTTATAGCAAGTCCTAATTGCCTGCTCTACTCTACCCTATCGTGCCTCGACACTTACGCTTTTGTTTAGTGCCCGTGGGCCTCTGAATGTCAGTGATAGTGCTGACTGTGAAAACATTCGTTCTCCCGTTGCCTTTGCTGAGGACAGCCACACATCGTTCATCTCACTGACGACTAAGACAGGACCTTAAACTTAAGTGTGGTCTTAGCTCATACTCTCAGCTCCATGCCTATCCTACCTGCCACCTTCATTTGACTGTGATGCGCATAATGTTAAAAGAGAAACTGTGTTAACATCTGTCTTTTTAGGGCAATGGATCAAAACATTTTCTCCAAGTCCATCTTTGTTATTTTCTTAAGTTTTATATCCTCTATTTTTATTTATTTATGCTTTTGCACAGCCTGGATCTATTTATTTAAGATGTTGCCATCTAAAGCTAAATTAATGTTCAAAAACTGTCTTTATCTGGTGTGCTTTCTTTGGGAAAATCTTACGTCTTAGAATTACAACTGTTTGTCTCTATTTGGCCCCGACTATGTAGAACTGCATTGATTTTTCAACTCTCAGTTCCTGCATTGTCAGTTCATATTTAGTTATTTGTGTTGAACAACAGACTGGCCACTGTGATTGTCTAGCTAATAGGAAGTGCAGGTTCTTCTTAATTTAAAAGGTAGATTCTGTGAGTTCCTGGAACTCAGACTCCACCTGCTTTTTCCATAGAGTTGTATAATGTGTATAATACTAGAGTATGCATAATCTGGTTTCTCTTTTATTTAATGTGGCGTCCGCTGATCGTTGGGGATTGAGAAGGTACATCTCTAGTCTCTTTCAAAATCCAAACTATCAGTACAGTATGTGGTAGAGGAGAAAAGAGTCTTATATTAGTCTAAATCTGCATTGTTTTGGTCTGTTGATTGTCACCGTAACTGCATGTACCCTCCATAATACAGTTCCCTCCACAACCTCAGTCCCAACCGAGAAAAAAAAAAAAAGGTTTAGTTTTTCTGTGGAGTACTCTGACCATATATTCTTCTATATGAAAGTTCCAAATCTCTTGCATTTACTGTACACGACACTGCTATTGCCACTTCTTCAACAACATGCTGCCATTAAATTAGGCTTTTCCAACCTTCAAAAAGTATTCTTTTGCGTTACTGAGCATTTAACGATGTAAAGGTGAGGATGAGACTTGGTGACCAACAACACTTTTTTTATTCCTCAACTTTTAACTCTTGTTCCTGTTAAATATTCAATGTTCTGCTTGTAGAACTGTAAAAAGGAATAATGAAAAAAAGGAATACTGTATTCTGAGGGCAAACATGTTTGGAAGGCATTTGCGGCCTATGTTTGTACACAAAATGCTAAATAAAATCTCCTGTATCTAAACAAAATCACCCCCCTTTTTTTTGTGAAGTCTGTGGTAGTATAGTATTATCCAGAAAACCTAGAGAGGCTAAACAGTGTTTAAAACATTAACTACATATGCATCGTAATGTTGCTGGGCATCATGTTTATCATTTGAGATAGTTTGTAAAAAAAAAAAAAGGAAAGAAAAAAATGAATCTTTGGATGTTTAACATTTATAAAACTCAGTGTACAAAAACGCTAATGAAACATTTAGAAATTCCACAAAAATAACACAATGAACATTTTTCTAAATCATTTGAAACATTTATTTTATTTAAATGAGACGTTTGTATCTAATAAATCTGAAATTGATTGTTTTTTGGAGAAATACTCTCAGATTTTAGTTTGATTCTAGAAACCCCAAAGTGTTGGGACACGGCGTTACCACAGTGTTGATTCATGTCACGTTTTGGCAACTCTGCACATTTTTGGGCAACTGAGGAAATCGATAAAAACGTCATTCCATTCTTGCGTAACATAAAAGTTTCAGCTGTTTTTGTATTTTTTTTTCTCAGAATGCATCAAATCTTTTCAATGGCTGACAGATTAGCACCTGGACTCTTTCTCTTCAGAGTCACTTTTTAAGAGCGCGCTGATAACAAGCCGGTTGGTCCCTCTCCTCCTGGGATCGTGGGATGATGGCTCTGACAGTTTTCCTGTTCTCCTCAGTTCATCTTAAATGAGCTCGGCCTACAGAAGCTGGTAGCTGAATCTTGTGTATAAATATTTTTTCCTTACATGGTGATGTGTTAACCATAGACTGTAGATAAAAAATGGACATGGCCACCATAACATCATCCACTGTTGTTAAACATTAGCAGTTTTAGTGACGCCATTTGTTTTTTTTAGGAACCATAAATAAAGTTTAGGAAGCTTTGTTTATACACAAAACTATTTTCTGGTTAATACTAAGTAAGCTATTTTTTGCTGCTCCTATATTTACAAGGGACCACCACAGCAGGTATCAGCACATTCGATATTGCAGACTTTTACACCGGATACCCTTCCTTATACAACCTCCAAATGTTTGTTTCCACCTGGGACAGAATCTTTGGCTAGCTAAGTGAATGTGTACACCACATGGAGCCAGTTACTAAATACTTGAATTTCACTATACAGAAACTAAAAAAGCTCAAGCTTCTTAAGACACAGCAAGCTGTAATATTAAATCAGATCACTCCATTATGTGCTCCTAAAAGCACTGTAGTGTAAAGGTTTCAGTCAGTGAGTCGAATTAGAGGACATGAGCACTAACAGACAGGTATTGGTTACAGTTCCCTTTGTTACCACATCTGTCAATCAAAGCAGTCACTTCCCTAAGTTTAACCCTTATCAGTATCTCAAAGGTTACGTTATTAAGGGAAAACTATACCTATTAGATTGTATAGTTAACTTTTGTATTTTTAACATGACTCTGTGGGAAATGACTCGCTTTTGAAGCCAGCCTCAAGTGATCATTAGAGGGACAGTTTTTGGCATCTTTGAGATTCCTGCATAGTTTAACTTGGATGCACCAACAAACTTTGTTTGTTGTTGTTTTATTTAAAGTTTTTCTGAACCCATACAGTGATTTCCATCTTTCTTCCTTTTTTAGTAGTGATGCCCGGACATTCAAAAGATTAACACCATTCAGCACGGATTTGAGCTTTTCCCGTGTGTTTTTTTAAATGTGCACCATATTTGATAAAGTCCTGAATAGCCTGTAAGAGCAGCTTTTTATTTTACTTCAAATGTAAAGTTAATGCATAATTTATTAGAAGCAGGAACCAGAACTAATATCTGACTCCCAAACCACTGATATAATAAACTCGTCACATGACTCAAAGGATGCCATAAAAACTGACATTTTGCATACAGCATTCTTTGGTTCTTTACATACCGCAGTTTGGTGTATGACAAATCATCACTCAGCACAGTATAGAGGAACTCCACCGCGCATAATCATTCAGGATATGCACAGTTTATAGTACTATTTGACGTGTAATGTACAAACACACTAATTCAGACTAAATAAATAAATTGGCGAGCTCAGAGGACACGTTATGGCTGTTTATTTATTGATATGGAAGTAGTAGTCGGTGTGTTATTTATTTTAATTGAGTTCTGCTCTTTAAATATCACTTTCTTTCTTCTATGATCGGTTATTTCCATTCCTCTAAGCCACTCACCCACACACAGTGTTTCTAACATCAACAACACTGCGCCGACCTGAATTTATTTCCAAGCCTTTCCAACTCCAAACCTTACCTAAATATATCATTTTCTTGACTTTAACCAGAGTTCAGTCCACACTCGAAAAATTAGTGGCTCATAGCAACGGCTTTGGCTTTGCTCTCAAAAAGAAGGCGGGACCCAAAAGAGTATGACTAAACAGATTTATGTCCCCACAACTTAAGCAGTATAATCAGCCTACACACTCGAGAAGCGAGGCGAGGCTGCGGGTGAGCGTTTTCCTGTTGCATCGAGTCGGTGCTCACCTTCAGACCTCTCCTGTCAAACATACGCACTGCCTCGTCTGCCGGTTTAAATTCTTCCCCCCTTTTTTGATCTTTTTTTTTTCAGCGCTTTTAATTTATTAAATTTGAATTTACTGCGGGAACAGTGATCATCTGAACACGTGGAGGAAAAAGGACTCCCCCCCCCCCCCCCAATCGCTCTAAAAATAAGGTAAGAAATAACTAATTGCTTTCTTCTTATTCAGACATAATTAGTAAGTCGAAGTTGTAAGTTGACAGAGGAACAGGTGTCTCCCGGGTAAACGCCCACTCAAATAACATCGGTACGTCTGACACGCTTGGATTACTCCTTATTCTTCAACCAGTAAATCAAAGTGTCATTATTTTATATATTAAAGTTTTATTGCAATGGAGTGGGGACGTTTTACTGAAAATTGTTTTTTAACGCGGCTGAAGTTTGAAAAAAAATGTAGTAATGTAGTAAACTTGTTATAATAAGATGAAGCAGTGCATTCACTGTACCTCAGTTCATGTAGTTAGTACGTATTTTTCCGTCACAGGGCAAATATTATATTACACCGTTTTGAAGCTTTTCGGTTGTCCTGCACATTGTTTACCTCTCCGTTGTCCTGTCTGTTCCTGCTGTCAGGAATTCCCAGTATGTTGTCAGATCAGTTCTTCCCTCATTCCTCATTCCCTCATACCCACAGTGCTGCCAGGAGTAACAAAACCAAATTTTCTTATATTTGTTTGACTTTTGGTGAACTTGCACATTGATTGGCAGGACTCTGGCAGATCCCCTCCAGCAGGATGTGTATTTTCTTATCACTTCCTCCAAGGCTGCTATGAGAATCTATATATATGTGCAGCTATGACCATAATGGTAAAGTGAAGGGGAAGGTTAAAGCAATGTGCTGGAAAAGTATTAGGTAAACTCAGAATGTATATCTTATGTTATAGTCTCTAAACTAAAAGTCCAATTTAGTTTTCTCAATCAAACTCTGAAAGTTTTCCATGCTCATGCAGTCTCTTGCTTCAGTTTTGTAAATCTGCTGGACCAAGCCTGGTTTTTAAATTCCTTTTGCTTCTAAGAAAGCTCCAGTAGGAGAATAAAAGAGGGAAAAGTCGGACTTTGGTCCAGTGTACTGCCAGGATTAATGCAAGTAGAGCTGCACATATGTGATCAGCAGAGTATGAAATGTGCATCTGAAACTGTATTTAAACATTCATGAATGTCTTTAGGGACAATAAACAGCTGTTATTTCACTTTATATGTTTTGCTGGCTGTGAGAGCACATCTACAGAGCATACAGCACAGATGCATATAGCAATAAAATATCTATTTATGATAATGCCTGGGGATTAACTGCAACACACAGGATATCGCTACTTAGTGTAAGTAGAGTATGGAAAATCCATCTATATTGAAATCAAATTCACACAATATAGCTCAGCACTGAAAGGGAAAAATCTTATTTTCCGTGCACGGCATTGCAGTTCTTTGATATTACTCAATACACTGCAATGAAATTAAGCTGAAACTTAAAACTGAAAGTTTAAAAAACCTCTCACAAATATTACAATAATATCAACATTTTTCAGATTACTTTACGTTTAATACTGAAATTGAGTCACAGTCCTAAAAGGCATTAAGTATGAACAGAAGTATTTTATGTCTTACTGACGCAAGGAGATCAAAGCAGCTTATGAGGATGGATAGCTCATACCTTTTACACTTTTACACATGCAAAAAAACCCAAAAAAATAACATTTCGGTTGATGCCAATACTCCTACGTATATTTATTTTTTTAATTATTTTTTGTTTAGGGTGTTTTTGTTGTGGATTAGGTGGCTGTGACTCAGGAGGTGAAGGAGTTCATCATCTTTTTTGTAGGTCAGTGGTTTGATCCCTGACCCTTCTAGCATGCGTGTCAAAAAAATCCTTTTCAATTTTCAATTCAATTTCATTTTATTTATAAAGCGCCAAAGCACAACAAGAGTCACCTCAAGGTGCTTTATATTGTAAGGCAGACCCTACAATAATACATACAGAGAAAAACCCAACAACCAAATGAGCCCCTATGACCAAGCACTTTGGCAACAGTGGGGAGGAAAAACCAGGCTCAGGGAAGGGCGGCCATCTGCCATGACCAGTTGTGGTGGGAGAAGGAAGGCAGGACAAAAGACATGCCTTGACAAGACCTTGACAAGACACTGAACCCCGAGTTGCCCCCAGTGCATTCACCAGACTGTGAATTTTACATTAAAAACTATCAAGCATTAAACAGGGTGCTTATAGGAATTTGTGTGAATAAGTCTTGTACTAAGAAACACTTCAAATCTTATCAAATCGTCAAATCTTATCTCGTACCTAGACCTCACACCTCTGCAGGAAGTTGGTTGTATCAAGTTTGCTTTCACTGTATTCAGTAACTTCCACTGTTCTCTCAGAATAGTTTTGGTATAATAAAGATGTAATCAATAAAAATGACCGAACATGTTTTATTATTAACCTAAAAAA